CGCGGCGCAGCGCCGTGCCGATGATTTCAGTGGCGGGCGACACGGCGGGCAGCTGCTGCAGCGCGCCGATGGCGTACTGCCGCTTGCCCTGGGGAGGAGCGGACGCGGGGGCGGCGGAAGAGGCGGAAGCGTCGGCGGAGGATGAGGGTGAGGATTCGGGGGACGGTGAGGGGGAGGGAGGGGAGGAAACAGCTGTTTCTGCTGCGTTGTCTTCGGCGCCTTCAACGGCGGCGATAGCGGCGGATCTCGCGGCATAAAAGGGAGGCGCGGCATAACGACGGACGGGAAGTGACGCCGCGAGTGGGAGAGAGATGGAGGAGTCGATGCGTGCTAAAGCGGCGCCACGCGTGGCCGCGACACCCGTAAAAGCGGCATGGGGGGCGAAACGCGCATCAGTCGCGGCGTGCACGGCGGTTCTGTGAATCGCTCGTCGCCGTGCGACCTCGTGTATGCGACGCTCGACGACGGCGATGAAGGGGACAACCCCGACGAGTCTGCGACGAGCGGGAAGTCGCCCGTCGCTGCTGACGGGTTGGGAAGCGACACGTGTAGGCGCGTGATGGTTTCGAGCGCGTGTGATTCTAAAGCGAGTGCTTCTAGGGTTTGGGCTTTGATTCTGGCACCAGGAAAGGGGTGCTAGCGTTGGCTCCACGTCGCGGCATGTGAGCCGCTGGCAAGTGAACCGCACTGCACCACAATGCGCGGCGACTTGCATGGCAGCACGGATGAAGCTGGCACACCGACGAAGCGCGCGGGCGTTGAGACGAGAAAGTAACCAGGGAACAGAGGGAAAGGTGGCGACATGTGCGGTGGGAGAAAGTGAGGTTGTGAGGAATTGGAAAAGTCGAGCACATTTGCCCAAGCTGCCAAAATCGTAGAAATGTGTCTGTTCGCTGCAGTTTCGTTATGGGAGACGAAATTTCTCATTCAAGCTTGAACTTTTGCTTCTAAGGGCGTGTCCCACGAGTTCGTTTACAGTTCAAGTTAAGGCTGGTAACCCTGTTTTTATTCTGTAACCCTTCCCTGCATGACATGTGTCTTCAATGACGCACCTGATGAGACGCCTAGGACGTCAAGAGGTTCGTACTACTCCACGTAAAAGGTACGTGAGATCACTTCGTACCGGGTGCTCCATTCCGTTACCCCAATCTGAAAATTCGCGCACTTTCAGTTGCGCGAAAACAGAAATTCGCACAGGGCACAATCAATTCGCACTGTGGCGGGTAGCCGCTCGCGGGCCATGTTCGGGTTATGATTTTCGTGTGGGTGGGGCTATGAGTCCGCGTGGGTCAATTTCGTTTGGCGCTGTGCTGACGCGCTGCGTGTTTTTCACGTCAGAGTGTACACTCTTTTGCTTTGTCGAAGTTACGTAAAATTTATGATTTTCCTCCCAAATGAACTCATGGGACACGCCCTAAACATTTAATTTCTGCAAGATGCTCATTTGGGTCAAACCGTTAGTGTAATTGACAAACATTCTCTAAACGGAGGAGCATCCCTCTTACCCTACCAAACCAAAATCAACGGAAATAAAGGAGACTCAAATCACTGCGGCATCTGCACTCCGTCCACACCATGAATAACGAAAAACTTACCCCTGAACAGAGCGGCACTCTTAATCTTTGCCTTCCCCTTTCCGAAAATCGGAATCGGCCTCGGCCTCCGCCCCGGCCCCTTTGCCTTATTCACTGTCACAGCCTTATCCACCCTGCGACCATTTCCGTCCGTTAATACCGGAGCGGATGCCAGGCCATTCTCATCGGCGTACACCCCGTTGAGGATATTAGCGCGAATCCACGGTGCGTAGGGGCGAACCTCTTGGCGCTTCATATCGGGCTTCATCATGTTGTAGAGGGCGCCAGGGCCCGCGGAACCGATTGCGGTGTCCTCAGGCAGAAGAATGGTTTTCCCGTTGGCTGAGTCGAGGAACGCGTCCGTTGGGTTCCAGTTGGTCTCTGCAGCACAGAAAATTAAACGATGTCACGAGAAGATAACGATGTGAGACCGAGGCAGCAACGGCAAGAGACGTAAAACATCGTGATTAAGCGAATCTGCATGTAGGTACCCAGTTGAGGGATGAGATGGTCAAGGAACACGCCGCTGGCGCGATGTCGGCCATTCAGTTTGGGATTCTTAATCGCATCTCGGGCCTTCTTAAACTCCACGATCAGCTGCTCCTTGGTGGGCCGCTTCGCCGCAGCAGGCGCCAGCAACAATGCGAGCGCAATGGCAAAAACGAAAAGCTGCCGTGACAACACCATGGTGAACGCACAAACTGGGGTGAAAACGCAAGTCTGGCGTGAACCTGCTAGGGAAGAGTCTAATATCCACGTTCTCCGTTTCTAGGCAGGAAATTGACAGTGCTGGATAGGCTGTGCTGTGCACGGTGCTGGAGTGGAGAGCGGCGGAACTTCAAACTCTGAGGGGGAAGCTCCAGCAGGGCGGAGCTGCCACCGTGGCTTTTCCCATTCTGGGGGATCACCTAGTACAGTAGTAGTAACTCTCCATAAATGTGCCCAAAGGTGTATGTTTCAGTTTTGTCCATCACATAGGAAGGACTTCAAGACTAACGGACAGAGTAATACAGTAGATATACAACCATAATTGGGCACCTGCCCGTAGCTGGCATACAGTGCACAGAAAGTTACGGGCACTGCGGGCTCCAGCTGGCTGCGGAACGGCACACAAGCGAGCGGTTTGGATGCTGCACGTGCTGTAGCTCGCGCAAACCTTGGTGTGTGTCACTCACTCCAAGCTGATGTGCGCTGGGGCACGTCAGCCCGCGCTAATGCGCGCGCCTTCAACCAGTGCCGAGGTGGCGCCTGCTCCACAAGGTCAGAGCTACAGTACCGCAAAATGCTGCTGTCAGTTACACACCGAAATTTTCGTTCTGGGCACACCCAAACGCAGTGGCAGTGCTTAATACACCCAAACTCAACCAGAGTACACCTGATTGTTTCCTAATTCCATGACTTGACATCTTTGGCCCATCAAACCCTTGAAATTGATGTCACTTTAGATGACGGGTTATCATTCTCGTGATTTTCCCGTTTTTGGTGACCAGTCGCATATAACGAGTTACCAACACGTAAAAACTTAATGTAATGGTGACTGTACGCTTTATTGGGCTCCATGTTAGAGACCATTTGATTTTTTCCTCTCATATTTTCAACTAGTTCCTCCTCCCATTTCTAGCGGAAAATCTCAGCCGAAATGGGTCGTCAAGCCTGACGACCCTCTGACGACTTGACGACATGCTGCCCCGGGCAGAAAAAAACTAAACTCCCATCGGATGGCAACCCTAAATCCATGCCTCCCCGTGTTTTAGGGTTGAGGCTCCCTGACCGGATGCATGCATTCCCGACTGGGGTTTATTTTTTTTGCCCGCGGGCAGCGAGCTCCCCCGGGCGGACTCGCTTGTCCGCTGAGATATATTAACCGTCCACTCTCATTCACACCAGCATCCGCGCGCTTCGTCGGTCTATCGGCTTCAATTGAGCTCACATGCCACCAACTAGAGCCAGCGCTAGCGTCGCTTCTCAGAAACTAGATTAGGAGCCGAAACCCTAGAAGCACTCGCGCTCCAGGCAATCTCTGGCCGACACGTGTCCCTTGGCGATTCGGCAGCGACGGGCGACTTCCCGCTCATTTCGGCCGGGGTCCTCTCCATCGTCGCCGTCGTCGAGTGTCGCATAAGCGATGTCGCCCAGCTATTAACGGAATTGCCGTGCACGGCGCGATTGGTGCAGTGTCGCCGCTACTGCCCGTGTTGCCCCCCATGTCGCCGCACCGCTGTCGCCGTACGCGACTCGGACTCGTTCAGCATCCCTTTCCCCACTCTCGTTCTGTCTCTCGTTTTGCCCCTGCCACCTTTCGGGTCACGAGCGCTGAATCCGCCGCAATCTCCGCCAGAGTAGACGCCCGCCGTGTCGCCCGCTGCTGAAACCATTGGCACGGCGCAGCGGCACGCGACCACGCACGTACCTCGCGTGAGTGAGCAGCGGGGGCAGAGCCGAGAGCATTGGACCCGCATTTGACTGTGCGCGCGCGCACGGCGAACACCTGCGCAGTGGTGGCAGAGACGGATGCGTGGTGAACCGACTTTTGAGTCGACTCAAAAGTCAACTCTGAGAGCGCGCGCACCGCAAACACCTGTGCAACGGTGGTGTAATGTGGTGGTGGTGACACCTGCCTGGTGAGCCTTTCTCCATCGCTCCCTCACTCTTGAACCTATCCCATGCATTCCGCCCCCTCTCTCCCTCCATCATTCCCTCCTGCTCTGCCTTGCGCCAAGCTTGAGCGTGCGAGAAGAGGTGAGTGGCGGTGTGGTGCTGGCAGCGATGGGTGCGTGATGCTGGTTCCCAGGTAATGAGTGGGGAAAGGAGGAGTGTGGGGTAGTTATGAGAGAGTGGTGTCATCGTCCTCCGTCGTGTCGAACATGATATATGTTGTGTTTGGTTAGGCAACAGTGGGTTAGCCTATATGGGGTACACAATTCTAGGGTTTGCTATTTGTACTGATTTCTCTGTTAGTTCAATCATTCCTGTTCGTTCATTCTGACATGGTTTCAGAGCAGGTCCTTCCCTAGGACCGTTTTTTTTTAGGGCCCACCACCGCACGTGACCTACCTACCTACCTACCTACCTACCTACCTACCTAGGGCGCCTCGAATTTTTTAACGGCCCCCTAAGGCCCCGCGACCCGCCCCTTAGCGACTCGCGCGCCGCCCCTTAAGGCCCCGTCGGCCCCGCGCTTGCCCCTTACGGCCCCGCCGCGCCGCCCCTTAAGGCCTCGTTACGGCCCCGCGCTCGCCCCTTACGGCCCCGCCGCGCCGCCCCTTTCTGCCCCGTCGACCCCGCGATCGCCCCTTACGGCCCCGCCGCTCGCCCCCTAGCGACCCCGTCGGCCCCGCGATCGCCCCTACCGGCCCCGTCGGCCCCGCGCTCACCGCCCTGCGCACCGCGCTGAGTCAGCGCAGCCCGCCCGCCGCCTGCTGCCGTCCCGCGCACCGCCTGCGCAGCCCGCGCTGAGCCCGCGCAGCCTGCGCGCGGCTCGCTGCTGCCCCGTACACCGCGCGCACAGCCCGCGCCGCGCCTTCGCAGCCCGCGCGCCGCCCCAGCAGCCTCGTGCACCGCCCTACCTGCTTGTGCCGCACCTCCGCAGCCTGCAAGCGGCTCGCTACTGCCTTGCGCGCCGCCCCTGCCTGCTGCCACTGCTGCTACTACTCCTGTTGCTACTGCTCCTGCTACTACTGCTACCACTGCTCCTATTACTGCTACTGCTGCCGCTACTATGGCTAGTCCTACTGTACTCGCTTTCGATGCCGAGGGCCGCCCAGTGAAGTTCGACACCTGGCTAGATGACCTGCACCTCTTCCTCCAGCTCACTGCCAAGGAGGACGTTTCACTGTACGATCACGCCCTAGGCCATGCTACTGCCCCTCCTACCACTGCTGACAGCACTCAGCGCTCCCAGTGGCAGACTCGTGACGCCCACGCTCGCTTTGCCATTCGCAACTCCCTGCCGCTAGATGAGCGCGAGCACTTTGGCCAGCACAAGACTGCTAAGGACTTGTACACTGCAGTCGTTGCTCGTTACTCCTCACCTGCTTCTGCCACACTAGGCCGCCTCACCCTCCCCTACCTGTTCCCCGACCTGGCCTCCTTTAGCACAGTCACTGACCTCATCACCCACCTCAAGACTAGTGAGGCCCGCTTTCGCGCTGCTATGCCTGACGAGTTCCTTGCTAGCAATCCCCCCCCGCTCTGGATCACTCTCTACCACATTGTCACCCGCCTCCCTGACTCTCTGCGCGCAGTCAGGGACCACTTCCTCGCTCGCTCCCCCACTGAGCTCACCATTGCCCTCCTCGAGAAGGAACTGCTTGCAGCTGAGGCGAGCATCGTCGCTGTAGGCACCTCTCGTGGCGACCCCCGCACCCCGTTCTTTGAGGGGTGTTCCCCTTCCCCCCTTCTCCCCTCTGTAGCCTCTGCTGCTGCTGTCGACCTCCTTGGTGCTGAGAAGGTCGGGACCGCGTCTGCTCCGAGCGGGCGCCGCAGGAGCAAGGGGGGCAAGGGTGGAGGTGGCGGCGGGGGAGGCGGGAGTGGTGGCGGTGGGGGTGGAGGTGGAGCTGGAGAGGCTAGTGGCGGCAGTGGGGGTGGTGACAGCAGCGGCGGGAGCGGTGGCAGGGGCGGAGGCGGCAGCGGAGGCGGAGGTGGTCGTGGCGGCGGCAGGGGTGGAGGTGGCCGAGGCGGTGGCGGCGGCGGTGGTGGTCGTGGAGGCGCTGGCGGTGGCCAGAGCCAGCAGCACGCCCCGTCGCTCCAGGAGGCCCGTGAGTGGTATTCGCAGCGGGGGGGGGCGGGTGGCTTTACCTGCACGTACGTCATCCGCACTGGTGACCGCACTGGCCAGACGTGTGGGAGGCCGCACCCCACGCAGCGCTGTTTCTCGCGCCTTACCGACGCTTGGCGTGCCCAATTTCCTGATGCCACTGAACTGCCCCGCTGGGCTGATCTGGAGAGGAAGGGAGTTGATATCTGGGCTCTAGACTTTGATGCTATTCTCACTGCCATGTATGCGATGTTTACTAGTGGAGAGGGTGCTCAGTTTTTGCATGTTCCGCCCGACCCGGGCATTCTGACCAGTCCGGCTGCCGCTCTAGGTGCTAGTGAGTCTGCTGCCCCAGGTCCTGGTGAGGCTGCTGCTCTAGGTGCTCGTGAGTCCGTGCCCCCTGGTACTGAGTCGACTGCAGCACTGCACACCTTCACACTGGACTCAGGTGCTTCTCGCTGTTTCTTTCGTGACCGCACTGTCCTTGAGCCACTCGCTCGACCAGTTGCTGTCTCCCTCGCTGACCCCTCTGGGGGTCCGGTCATTGCGACCTCCTCCACTGTCCTTCCTTGTCCTGCGGTCCCGTCAGGCACACTGTCAGGTCTCTACCTCCCCTCGTTCTCTACGAACTTGGTGGCCGGTCGTGCGCTCCAGGACGGGGGTGTTCACCAGTTCACCCCTGCCTACGAGCGCGTGACCCACTGCACGTGTGCTCGGACGGGTCGCCACCTGGCTACCTTCACTCGGCAGCCGGGGTCGGACCTGTACACACTGACCACTGAGTCCCCTCAGGTAGCTGCGTCTGCGTCTACGTCTGCGTCTGCGTCAGGTCAGCTGTCCGCCCCCTGCTCGTGTCGCTCTCTGGCGCATGAGACTGTCCTCTGGCACCACCGCCTTGGTCACCCGTCTGTGCAGCGCCTTCGGGCCATGCACAAACGGGACCTTGTTGCTGGTCTTCCCAGGGTTCTCCCTCCCCTCCCACCCTCGCCTGCTCCTCCCTGTCTTCCCTGTGTCGAGGGGCGGCAGCGCGCCGCTCCTCACTCCTCCTCGTTTCCCCCGACGACTGCTCCCTTGCAGACGCTCCACTTGGACGTGTGGGGCCCAGCCCGCGTCCGTGGACAGGGTCAGGAGAGGTACTTCCTGATTGTTGTTGACGACTTCTCGCGCTACACCACGGTCTTCCCCTTGCGCACCAAGGGTGAGGTCCCTGATGTCTTGATCCCTTGGATCCGCAGAGCTCGTCTCCAGCTCAGCGAGCGTTTCCACTCCGAC